CTGATTAAACGTAATCAAAAGGCTACAGCCGTCTGGAATTTGAATGAACGGCATACTCTTCAAATTATTTAGGTATTATAAGTCCACTGGTATGTATTTATTTCTGAGAAATACGTTAAAGTTTAATTTTCCCTGTCCTACATCTTTGCGGAGATGGAATGAAATAAAAAATTTTCAGAGTGTAAATTGTATATATATGTACATACAGCCTTTGAAAAAGCAATCCTCAAAATGGACTCTATGAAAAGGAATGCATTTTGATTTGTTATGGAATTATAAAAAAATTTTGCTTACAATGCCTCTGCGGACATAATTTGTGGGCTGGTTGATTTAGGAAATAAACGGACAAATGAGAGAGGTACGCATATTTGTGTTTTTATATGGATAGGGCTATCACTACGACAATTATTGAAGAATAAATTAGTCTGTGCAGGGAAATTGGGATTGAAAGTAAGTGCAATGACATGTGATTAAGGACCAAAAAAGCGGAATTGCTATAAATTATTGAATACTTCAGTGGAAAGACCGTACTGTATTCATAACAATGTAAAAATCTGTCTTCTATATGATGTACCACATTTAATAAAATCCATAAGAAATGCATTTATAAAGGCAGTTGTTGAAACCAAAAAATTAAATTTGATGTAATAAGAGCATTATTTGAGTTAGAACAGGGAAATGTGACTAAACTGACGAAATTGACGTTATCATATTGCACTTATTAATTTAGAAAAAATGCGACTGATGCTTGTTGCTCATACTCTGAGTCATACTGTTGCAGCAGCAATTAAGTCCGCAATTATAAATGAACAATTAAATAGAAATGATTCCAATGCGCCAGCATTTATTGATGTCATTGACAACTTTTTTGATGACCTCAATAGCAAAAAATTTAGTGATCCCAAGCTATTGAAACGTGGGTTAAGATTCGAAAATAGTGTTTGGGAAGTGTTTTTGGATTTATACGAGTGTATTAACTTGTTTGCCAAAGACATTTCCGTTACTCTGACTAACCGCTTCAACCGAGGTCCATTAGAAAATAAATTTTCGTATATATGTGCCACAGGTGATCATAACACAAATCCGTAGGTGTACGAGTTTAATATAATTTTAGCAAAGCTATGTAAGTTCCACTCACAATCAAAAAATCCTAGTAACGTTGTATTAACTTTGGAGAATATTTGTGGAGGCAATGAAGCGTACTTGGATGAAGAAGCGGACTCATTTTGTTCAGATAGAAGTCCCATAGAAATGAATTCTAGTCGATATTTTATTGGTTACATTGCACGTTGTCAAAAAAGTCAAAAATGTTCAAATTAAATCAAATTAAATCCATCAGAGATGTTTATACACACCATTTTTTAATATTTGTCAGATATATGTAGAATTGTTTAAAAAGATTTTTAAAGAAAACAAAAATATTAGAAATATAAGAAAAATAATAATGTTAAAATGTATAGAGTCATTAAAATTTCTGATAATGCTTCCTGCAGGCCGATTCCACTAATCGCTAAAACTCCAATCTCTTCGCTAAAATTCTTAAATAAGTGATTCGCTTATTTTAGGAGAATTAGCGATTGTAATATTTAATTAATATTTAATTAATATAACATTGGTGTGTGAATTAATTAAATAATGGACTTTTTGATAAGAAGGAGATTTTTTTTTTCTGGTGATGTGAAAGATTCACGAAATCATTTACGTTGGAAAAGAAAATTTTTGCGGAATTCTACAGACCCCTTCGCTATATCTGATGCGCGTTTTATTGAAATATTTCGTCTTTCGAAATATTTATGTAAGCTTTTCATGGCAGAAATAACTCCGTACATGGTACCGAGAAGTCGATCAGATGGAATTTCGAGGGACATACGCGTACTTGTTGCATTGCGTTTTTTTGCTCAAGGTAAGTTGATATTTAATGATTGCAAAAAAAGTAAATCAATTATGTTAATTTATAGGATGTTATCAGCTTTCTGTGGACCAAAGCTTTTTATTAAATGTTTCTCAGCCAGTTGTAAGTAGATGCGTTAAGGAGGTTGCAAATATAATGAATCGTCATTTTGTAGTAAAGTACATCAAATGGCCCAGAACAATTCAGGAATTATGCGCTATAAAAGAGAAGTATATCTTCTAGTTAATCGACAACTATTTGTAGATTTTATGAAAATTTCGGTTTCCAGGGGTAATTGGTGCAATTGATTGCACTCATATAAAAGTTAAAACCCCTAACTCAGCTATTGAGCATGTGAATGTCTGAGAAAAGGAGGACATTCGCTAAATGTTCAAGTGGTATGATTCAAATTTAATTTATTTACATACTATGATAATAGGCATTAATCTTAGGTATGCGATTATAATCTAAAAATTTTAGATTGTAATGCTCGCTTCGGCGGCACTGCACATGATGCATCCATATGGAGCGCCAGCACCTTACGAGTGCTTCTTACTCGAAAGTACGAAAATGTGGACCGAAATTTCCGGTTAATAGGTAAAACTTGATTGTAATTTAATTTTTTTGAGAAACTAATTCTATTTTTGTATTTTTAGGAGATAGCGGTTATCCCCTCTTACCCTTTTTGATGACACCTGTTCGATGAAATAATTTGTCGACGGCACATAATAATTATAATGTGCAACATCGAAAGGCGAGAAATTGCATTGAGCGTTATTTCGGATTATTAGAAAGTTGATTTCGTTGCCTTAGCAGCGAAAGAACTTTAATGTATGATCCTGAAACAGCGGGCAAAATTGTTAATTCATGTTTGGTGCCACATATCTTCATTATTAAACATAATATAATGAACGAAGTTAATGATATTGACTGAACAGAAAACACGGACGAAGAAATAAATGAAGATAATGACTTTGAAGCACAAGAACCCGTCCCTGAAGCGTTTCTAGCAAGAGAGAAAATAATCAATAATTATTTTCAATATTAATTGGGTTTTTTTTAATTGCCTTTTTATTAAAAGTTTAAATATATAGTTATTTATATTGTTATTATTTTAATATTATTTTATTAATAATAAATTGTTATTATGACCAATATTCAACACTTTTTTATTAATACTCTGGCCTTAGGTCGTTAATTTAACACATAAAAATTACACTTATAAATTTGTGTTAAATATTTAATTGTATTTTAGTTTTTATAAAAACTTATTTGTATTACAAATATTTGGGTCTACTTCGTAGACCATCTTCAGTGTCAAATGAGGAAGAAAACCCTTAAAAATAAACAATTATTTTATTAATAAAAAAAGCGCAAATTTCCGCATCACCCCTGAGGTATTGCACACAATGCGTTAACCAAATTATTTTATATGGCTGTGCATCTGTTCTTTAGTGGCCTGCACGCGTTCGTCCGCAATCTCGTTCTCTTGTTTGAGCTTTCTTTCCTCCAGCTCAAGTCAACGTCCCTCAAGCCTCAACCTTTTCTCCTCTAACTCGACGAACTTTTGGTTGGTCTGTTCTAATGAGGAATTTCGCTTTCGTCGCTTGGCTGGACGAATAGGTCTTAAAAGCATACAACCCTCATCGTTGCCACCAGCAGATGGACCTGAACCGCTTGGCAGTTCCTTTCCCTCCTCAAGGTACTAAAATTAAACATTTGTTAGATTAACAATTAAAAACTATATAAAAAATAATAGCGATAATAAGACATTCGCCTCTAATACTTACCTCTAAATCATAAAAACATGAAATGTCACCTCCTGGTGTAGAATTGTAACCTCATCGAAATTGGGAGAATGGTTCATTTTAATACAATGTGTTGCAAACGTAGGATGTTGTTAGAAATGCTATATATAATTGACGTTCCAGATGATAAACAACTGAACTACAAGAGCGATACTGAAGGCTTAGCGCAAATATATATATCACTAATCAAAAATTAATTGCTAAGTTTATATTTACTTTTATTTGTTTTTATAAAAATTAAAATTTTCTTTAAAAAATATGTTTTTCGTCTGACTATGACAACACTGGTTGTTATTCTTTTTTAAAAATTAATTTCCCTTTTTCATATCTTTTTGTTTAATTATTATTTGACTTTTGACATTAAAAAAAATTTTTTTTTTTATATATAATTGTATTTGTAAAATTTCAATAACACTGAAGATAGCCTACGAAGTAGGCCGAAATATTTGTTAATAAAATAATTTATTACATAAATTAATCTTTGTGATATTTTATTTAATTCAAAGTTTGTTTTTATTTATTTTATATAAAATACAAGTTATTATATAAAAATTTAAAATTAAAAACCACGACCTAAAGCCCGGCAAAAAATTTCAAACATAAATATTGAGGTCAACACCAATACGAACATAATTATTTGTTTTTAATTTTTGTTTCTTTTTCTTGTTATTACATTTAACAAAAATTTAGTTAATGTCGAATACTTTTTTTGACCACTGTAAATGACTTTTTCTGTGTTCTGCCGTTTTCATTTTCTACATTTGCAACGTCTACGAGAAGTTATTCGACCTTTAATAGCCAGCTGATTAAAAGAACTTCTGCTCACACCAAAATTATTTTTGAATGCTTCCCCATTTTGAGATAGACAAAGACAAAGATTGTTTTGCTCTAGGTAGAGTTGTTGTTGTTAAACCAGAATTTTGAGTAGGCTAAATTAGATAAAAATTAGCTAAATTAAAGATTTTATAAATCTTTAAATTAAAGATTTTATAAATCTTTAAATTAAAAATTTCATTGTAAAGATTTTATAAGATTTTTAATAAGTAAATAAATAAATTTGAAAACTTTTATCCAAAAATAATGAATAAGGCCAATAAATAAATGAATAAATATTTACATAAGTGAAGCGCAAAAAATCCCTATGAAATTTCAATTTACTTTACCATCAATTTATTCGAACTCGCACATCAGCCTTATAATGAGAAATTTGACTATTAGATTTTTTGAAAATGCAACCGTGATATTTTATTTCGAAATTTAAAATCAGAGCTTGGTAGCCCTAAATAAATCTTGGCAGAAATTTCACAGTATTCCATTCAATTGGTTGTTGGTTGGTTTTGTTTTCCGTTATAAAATCGTAAAAATTGCAATATTTAAGGAAAATGGCTGCAAGATTAATTCAAAAAATTGTAAGAATTTGAAGTTTAAAATTTAAGAAGTTGTTTTGTGTGTGTCAGTACCTTCAACTTTCCTTTATTCCGTTTGGTTCCTTAAAATATTTTTAGATAAAATTTATTGGATTTAATTCTGCACGAGACTCACGTGAGGTTACAACGAGTTTGGGGACAACCGACGTAAAGGTCGGTCTATAAAAATTTCCTTCTAAGTGGTAAAACTGTCTGCTGATATAAGCAACTATTTTTATATAACACATTAAATTCAATATAAACTCTGTTACATCTTAGCACTCATTTTCTAATGTCCTAGTATTGGGTCATATTTGTCAAAGGATAAGGTATTCTTATGATATATTTCTTCCAAATTTGTTGAAGGAGCTTTCATATAAAAAATTTCTTAACCTCAATTAAAGTTTCGTGTGCCTCTAAAATATACTCAAACAGATGCAGACGAAACGAATTTTCTTATGTAACCTATTTTGCAAAACCAGTACCCGCATTATGTGTATATTTTGTAAATAATAAAAATGTGCTTTAAATTGATTATTTTACTTCAATAGGTTGGTTCTGTTCCGAACTCAAGCCGTGCTTACTCATCTAATGCAAAAAAAGTAACATTAATTCCTGGTGACGGTATAGGTCCAGAAATATCTGCCGCTGTGCAAAAAATTTTTGCAGCTGCCAACGTTCCAATTGAGTGGGAGCCTGTAGATGTCACGCCTGTTAAAGTAAGTTTTGTATAATTAGTTTATGCTTAAAACGATGGTTCTATAATTAAGGAAATTCCAGAATAAATTGATTTAATTAGTAACATTTTATAAAAAATTAGGTTAAATTAATATTTTGATTCTATTGAGAAACAAACATGAATATTAAACAAATAAAAAGTGTTTTATTAAATACGCATGTATATCTTCTAATACGTATAAAATATATTTAAGGGTCCTGATGGAAAATTCGGAATTCCACAAGCAGCTATTGATTCTGTTAACACCAACAAAATAGGACTCAAAGGTCCTTTGATGACACCAGTAGGTAAAGGCCATCGTTCACTTAATTTGGCACTGCGCAAGGAATTTAATTTGTATGCCAATGTAAGACCATGCAAAAGTTTGGAGGGTTATAAGACCCTCTATGACGATGTCGATGTTGTCACCATTCGTGAAAACACAGAAGGTGAATACTCTGGCATTGAGCACGAAATAGTGGATGGTGTAGTCCAAAGCATCAAACTTATTACTGAAGAAGCATCAAAACGTGTTGCCGAATATGCGTTCCAATATGCCAAAAACAATAAGAGAAAGAAGGTTACTGTCGTACACAAGGCTAATATTATGTAGGTAAAATCCTGTTATGTTCATATATATCATTTATTATGTATTGATGCAAATAGGCGTATGTCAGATGGTCTTTTTTTGCGTTGTGTGCGAGACATGGCAGAAAAATATCCTGAAATTCAATTTGAAGAGCGTTATTTGGATACTGTATGTTTAAATATCGTACAAGATCCTCGAAAATATGATGTTTTGGTATAATACTTTAATATAAGTATCAGTAGTTAATATTTATAAAATAAATTTGTTACTAAGGTCATGCCAAATCTTTATGGCGATATTTTATCTGATATGTGTGCCGGTCTTGTGGGTGGTTTGGGTCTAACGCCATCCGGTAACATGGGATTAAACGGCGCACTGTTCGAAGCTGTTTGTATAAATCAATAAAATTTGCAATTTATTCTAAAGTTTTATTTTTTTAGGTACATGGTACTGCTCCTGACATTGCTGGTAAAGATTTGGCTAATCCTACTGCTCTTTTATTATCTTCTATTATGATGTTACGTCAAATGGAACTGAATACGCATGCTGATAAAATTGAACGCGCTTGTTATGATGTTATTAGGGAAGGAAAATATTTGACAGGAGATTTAGGGGGCAAAGCAAAGTGCTCTCAGTATACTGATGAAATTTGTTCCAAATTGTAATTTGTTATATGCGGTTAAATAATGAAAAATTGAACAAGAAAAACAGCAAACAATATTTGGCCATCATTTTATTACTACTTAGTTGCTTAGGTCTTGAGTAGTACAAGTACCAATGATTTTAACAGTTATCAAAATAATTTCAATTTGTTTTAAACGAATAGTTTTGTATTGTTGGATGTTTATGTTATAAAGTTTAATTAATATTTTAGACTCTCAAAGAAAACTTTATTTATCTCAAGTTCATGTTCATGTATATTATTTTACAAAATTAATCCATAAGTTAAATTATATATTTTATTTGAAAGTATGTTTAAAAGAAAATCAAATTTTACTTTTCATCAGTAATGTGGAAAAAATTGAATTGTTAAAATAAATAAAAATTATTTATTAAAACTGAATGTATTAAACATGTATCAATTTTCAAATCAAGTATTATTTTAAACAAAGAATGATATAATGCAAAAGTTACATCAAAAAGTAACATATTTTTATAAATTTACTACGAAAACGTACACGTCAAAACAATATTTGACGTAAACACATTTCTATTGACATTGCATAAATTTAATTATATGACCTGTCCGCCTGTGGCTTTCATTCGCCGCTTGCAAATTCTATATATAATTCTGAGTCTAACAAGCAACATAATTATCTGTTCTACATTCCTTTGGTATCTGAATTGTTTTATAGTATTCCAGAATATTTAATTAGATTTCAACGTCAATGTGACAGTCGTGACTACTTTTAATGGAGGGGATTCGTAAAGTAATGAATTACAACAAAAAATTCATAAAATTATTTTAAAAATAATTTTGTGTTTTTACGGGCTAATTGGTCAACAGTTAAATAATAGACTTTTTAAAAATATTTACTTGCTTTTAAAAGATTTTATATTTAGCCATGTTTAACCTATAATCTCTATAGTCATTATCAGGGTACTATAAAATTTAAATACAATGTAACAGTATTTTTGTAAATAACACAAAGAATCAATAATAAAATACATTAACATCGAAACATAAATTATATATATGTATATAGAAAATATTTATACAATACTATGAAAATCATCTTTCGGATTTGTTGAAGGTGTTTTCACACATCTGAGCGCAGTGTTGTATGTCAGTTTTAAAGTTGAGTTTGGTGTCACTAGGAGTTTGGAGGATATATAACATTTCCAAGAAAAAGCGTTTTTATTGATTATTTTCTTGGTGTAACACCTTTACAATATCAAGGTCCAGCTCATGCTTTGCTGTAATACGGTGTGATGCCAGTCCCGTTTTTGACTCAATATTATTTTTATACTTTACACTGTATTATGTTCAGCTATACGCATCTTTAACTTGTTTTTTGTTGTATCAACATATACTTGGTTGCATATGTTGGATCCGTCACCTTTATATTTAATTTGATAAATCACATTGTGTTTATCCAAAGTATATATTTTTGATTTGGTGTTAGAGAAAAGCGTCTTCATCGTGTTTTGCGGCTTATATGTAATTTTCTATTTTTGTTCGTCATATATTGTGGATATTGTAATTTGATTGGAGAGTTTTGGGACATATACAATACTTTTATAAATTTGGGTATTCAGATTTACATTTTTCTTTCAAGATTTTATGAATTACTTGGTTAGGGTAATCATTTTTGTTTAAAACTCTTTTGATTTTGTTTCTTATCTCCTCGTGGAAAATTGTATTACTTAACTCTAATGCTCTTATAACCATATTGCTGGCAGTGTTCATTATTACATGGTGGGGTGTTTCGAACTAAAGTTTATAATTCGTCCAGGGGCTGTTGGCTTTTGATACTATTTTGTCATAATACGATTATTGTATCGTAATAAATGGATGCCTAAATATGGTAACTGGTCATGCTTTTCTTCTTCTACGGTGAATTTGAAAACTTTTGTGAGTCATTGAAAATTTTTAAAGTATCATTGATGTTATCAGTTCTTACAATTCCAATTGTCTACATATTAAGTTAAAAGCCTCGGTTTTATTTCCATTTTCTCCATGCATTGGTCAAGTAGTTTCTCTATTATAATATCTGCAATAATTGGTGACGCTGTAGAACCCATTGGCACCCATTGGCATACCTTTCCGTTCTTTATATATTTTATTATTTAATTTAAAGTAGTCGTTGTCTCTGAGACACAAACTTAGTATTTCGAAAAACGATTCTTTTATTTTTGTAAATTGTCTTATTTCGTTCCATTTAGAGTCTAAAAGTTTCAACGCTAAATCTAGGGGTATGCTGGGAAATAGAGATACGAAATCGAAGGATATCATTTTCTCATCATCATAAATATAGGTATTGTTGATTTTATTCAAGTGTGTCTTTAATTTTATAGTTTGATTTTTTTTTGTTATATTTTTAAGAATGGTTATCATAAATTAACACAGTTTGTATGAAGGTGAATTTATAGATGAGCAAATAGGTCTACATGGCATATTTTCTATGTGGATTTTAGGTAATCCATATAGTTTATGGAGGTTTGCTGTATTCGCTTTTCCTTGGAAATGTTATACATCCTCCAACCTCATACAACACTGTGCTCAGGTGTATAAAAATACCTTCAACAAATCCGGAAAGGATATACATATCTTTCCTGTATATGTTATTTTTATATCTATTGGCATAGTATTGTATAAATATTTTCTATATACATATATATAATGCATGTTTATTATCGTTCCTTTGTGATATATACTAAAATATTGTTACATTGTATTTAAATTTTATAGTACCCTGATGATGACTATAGATTATAGTTGAAATATGGGTACAAATAAAATCTTTTACAAACAAATAAATATTTTTAAAAAGTCTATTATGTAACTGTTGAATAATTAACAGGTAAAAAAACAATTATTTTCAAAAAAATTTTTTAGAATATTAAAACTGTGAATTATTAAAATTATTTGAATTAATTTTATATCTGAGTATTGCCAAATATCCATCATCAGATTCGCTGCCTTTTATTCGCAATAATATTAGTAGTTAAAATGCCTTGTTACAATAACAGTTGCAAGTTTGTGTTTTCCTTAGTCAGCTGTCATTAACTGCTGCACTGATTAACACTAAAATCGGAATTAATAAAACTGCTCTTAATTTATCATATTCGTTGGCTTCATTGAACATGCTACAAGAAATCTTCGAAAAGATGCACTACCACTTTCTCAGTGCTTTTAAACATCTACATCAGTGACGACTGCTCTAAGGTGCGGAGGAGTGCGGCGCACACCCTAACATAATTTGCAAAATGTCCTACATAAATTTATTAAATATCTTTACATCAAGAATTAATATTGTTTATTACATTTCCATATATATGTATATTTTCAAACATAAAAGTTTTAGCAAAAATAATTAAATATAATTGTCTATGAAAACTCAATCAATTTGCTTCTCCAAGCTGCTATAGTTAGTTGTGCTCATAAGTTTGCAGCTCAAATCGCATTTCTATTGTATTTTGTCTTTCCCCTTGCGTGCGGAAAAGTTAGCCGCACATTTATACGTTGCAAGTCTATTCGATTTTGTTTGATCACTGCATAAACATGTATGGTTCTGAGTACAAACTCTTTTGTTTAAAAAAAGTTGGTTCGTTGTTACAAGGAGTATGTAAAAAGTTGTGTTTATTCCATATTGATATAATAT